TCATTTTAGCCCGAGCCGCTAGGCAAGGGCTACAATGAGCTCTGAGAAAGACCCAAAACAAAATAATGTCCAAGAACATAAACTCTATTACTATTATTACCACTTTGGAGGGTATTGAGAAAACAAAAATTGAAAAAAATGATAACAACAAGAAAAACAACAAGTTTTCCCTCAATGAAAGTACACGATACATCAGCGAAGCTGGCTAGAAATTACAAAATCTTGTCATTTGAGTTTTCAAAATTTGCAAAAGATATGAAAGGAAAGTTTGATAAAGTTTATTTGTAAGTTTTGAAATTAATTTGCACAATTGCTAAACTGGCAGTTTGGCATAAGCTTAATTGGTTGAACTGAGTGCGTTTTGCTTGAATCCGCAAAACTTACATGCACTTCACCATCGGCCATGGAGCTACTACAGACGTTACTGACATCAAAAGCTTCTCTTGAAAGAAACGGACGGCTAAAGTGTCCGAACAAGCACGTTTCTGTGAGGCTGAGTTATCCTTTATGTAGGATGTCAAACTTTGCTCGTTGAAAATGGCACCCTGATTTCTTTCACCGAAACTTCGCTGCAAGAAAGCGGCGCGAACAGAGCGCGCGAACATTTTAATGGCGTTTTGATTTTGATTGGCTGCCTACATCGTACGATTGTTTGATTCTCACTTTTAATTGGTTTATTTCAGCGGGCAAAAATACATTTTAGCCTGAAAAATGCGTCACAATGCCCTAAAAGGTGATAATGATAATGAATATTCTCTTAATTTGGAAAGAAAACGCCAACTATCTTGAGACCCAGGTTCTTGAGCTGGTGCACATGACGGTTTGTTGTAGAATAAATTAAGTTTGCTGGGCCTATCAAGCTCATAACTACTGCGAAGTCGAATCAAACATGGTGTAATATTCTACCATGGGTATTGTTATTCATGGCATGGTAATAAGCTATGGGTAATCACTCTGGCCTGAGACAAGGCTAAGATCAAGCAAAGATTGAAGAGGACAGCTAGATCAAGACGAGTTACTCGTTGGGTGGGAGGGTGGCTAGTCACCAACCTCTTCGCTTTGGCTGCCTCGAGTAGAGTAATTGGGTGGGAAAGAGGGGTCGCGTAAATTCTTTTATACTATTCATTTCCATATAATCACCAGGGTACAATTACCAGTGTAAATTGAGTTTGCATAAAGAACAAAGGCAATAAAAGAGGAAGAAAAAAAGCTTGGCGTTTATTTTGTTTCACTGAAACGAAGGGGAGTTATGAAAGTTAAAACGAAGGCGATGACTTATAAAATGAATAACAGCGCAAATTGTATAAAGTATGAAGGTACGTGTCTGAGGACTAACAACGTGTAAATGATCGATAGAAGCTTCCTGTCTTGGCTTCCTACTCAGTCAACAAACCATTTGGATCTTAACGTGGAAACAATAGTACACTATAAATGAAACAACAGCAACAACGAAAAAAATAACCAAGTTAAACCCCCATAATGACCATAGTGTACATTGAATTCAAATAAGAAGCAGTTTTAAATTAACGTTTCTTACGACTTTTAGGTCGACCGAACCTCTCTACTCTACATAAGTATCATCAGCTGCTGCGCTGTTCAAAATAATTATGTGAAGAGAGCCTTAAGCCCATTACGATAATTTCTGCTGAAAATTAAACAGATAACAGGATTTATGGCACAATTTGCGGAAGCCAATAACCTAACAACATATACAAAGTAAGGGTCGCCACAATTCGGCCATATGATGGTCTCCGTAAAAAGGAGAATACACCAGAAGATAGCGAGGGGCAGCCAGCATGCTGCAAACCCTAACATAATAGCAATGGCCATCTTTAGGACGTTCCGCTCCCTTTGCTGGCGTTCTTGTCCAGCGTTGGCTGATTGCTCACCTGGAATTTTCTGTGACTTGAGCTTTAGATAGATGATAACGTAAAGTATGGCTATCAACACCAACGGGATAAACATGAATACAGCAATACAGGACATGATGTAATACTCATAGGATGAGAGCTCTCCAAAAAGTTCATTCCAATGCCGCTGACAAACCAGCTTCCCTGGATATTCAACAACGTTGCTGACGAAGAGCTCTGGAGAGAAAACAGCTATCGCGACTATCCAAGTGGCGACAATGAAGAACGGGCACAGCTTTGAACTGATCAGTGGAGAACGGAGAGGAAATACCACAGCTCCAAATCGATCCACTGCTATCAGAACCAGGCTCTGAATAGACACAGTAGAGGAGGTATCTGGTAAGAAGGCAACCAGCTTACACAAGACCTGGCCAAGAGGACCACCGATCAGCCAGGAGTCTACATAGAGCGTTTGTATCCTCCAAGGAATCAAGAAATCGGAAACAGCAGATCGGACATGGCCATGTTTACAATGAAAAAGTTGATGGGCGTCCTCATGGTTTTCGTCTTGTACACAATTATTCCAATGACGTTGTTCCCAGCCGACGACAAAATGAAGATCAGGCAGTAAGCAAGGGTCATTCCAATTTTTTCTGCTGTAGGATTCCTGGAGCAGTTCGATGGCTGTGTTCCATTCATCGTTGTATTCACGATTTCCGACATTGCCATTCAGATTCTTTTTCCGCTCTTACGCTCGCAAATGAGTTTTCTTCTGGTTTCTTCACTTACTAACGTCACCCTATTTATGTCCTAGTGAAGGCGGAATAACTGTTCGGCTTGATCTCGGCATTCGCGCGAAAAGATTGATCGATTAGGAAATTTCCACGAAATGTTTGATGATTGGCAGATCTTTGTTCCAGCTGTCTGCAGTCTATTTGACAATATAATTCGGCTTTCTTATTTCGTGTAACCAAACAAAATGAAGTGATCACAAATTGCTTTTTGTTTTCATTTCATATCTTAACATCGATGAAACTGGAAGCAAACAGGGTCTCAAAATGTCACTGCTTCGACAAATGAAGTAGGGACAGCTGGGTGGATTGTTTTTCAACTCTGTTCGAAGCCTGATAAACATGCCAGTCGTTCAGTTTTCTTCTACCCTGTTATTTAATGAGGTTTAATAAATTGATCGTGGCATCAAACCGTCCATCATGACGAGTCAGTGAGAACACGGGGTGTTCAACGTAAGAACCCGAGTTTAATAATAAACAATGCCCTATGAGAAAATGCTTCTTGTCGGAGTTTAAATCACGAAACTTTAATGTCTAATATGACAGCGTAAACCGCCTAATCAAAAGGTGCCGCGCAAACAGGATTTGAATTTACCCCGGCTGCAGAGTCATGAAGTTTTTTCGTGTATCCAAGTTAGTATTTTAATAAAGAGACTCCTCCTCGTGCATTGCATATGACGTCAACAACGGCTAATAACTTCAGGATCGGATCTAAACTCCGTTTATGCCACACGAGAGTCTTCTTTAAAGGATTTGGACAGAAATGAGAGGGGAGAGAGGAGAGGGGGTTACTTTGTTTTTTTTTTCAAAATGAAGGACAAAGTGAAAAGGTATAAACATTGATGTTAAACAAAGAACTATTCAATTACTTTCCTATTGATTCTTTTTCCGAAAAACTCCACCATGCCCTACGTGTGGGATTAATGGAGCAGCCTAACTTAAGTTTTCCTTTACTGATTGTCCATAGCTTTTCACAGGCCACTAAAAATGACTTGGGCTTTATACGAGGGGCGCGGCCAAATTTCGCTCGGCCATATTTCCCTGTTCCCTTTTTCCTCATTTCACTTAACTGATTGATGAGTAGCGACTTTGGTTTAGCGTTTAGAGTTTAAAGTGCATGATAAATCCACTTTTGTTCTTAACATAAATTTCCTGATATCATGTTCATTCAAGTAGAATAAGTAGGATCTTTCGTGAACTTTACATTAATTGAGTAGTTGTTAACATTACGTTAATTTATTTTTAATGCCTTAAATATACTTTGTGGGGCTGCTATATATGTATGATTGTATCTGAGGTCTTCTCGAGCAAGGGTGTGTATGTAACACTTGAGGTTCGCTGAGTAACGTGAAAGGTTCTTTATGTCTTTCTTCTAAGCTTTTTTCTTCAGAGTAGTTTTAAATTTTCATCCATTAATATCAGAGTTTTATGTTACAGTGGGATTCCAATTTTTCGAACCTCCCGATAACTCGAACCAAAAGTCGTTTCCCTTCGTCAGTCAAACACTGTAATTTTACCATCGATTTCTCGAACTCTCCGGTTTTTCGAACCAATTTTCGTTTCCCTTGGAGGTTGGAAAAATCGGGATTCCGCTGTATATGCCAAGTGGGTATCTGAAGGGAAAACATTTGAACGTCTCACCTGATAACAAAGTGCAAATGATTGACAGAAGCTTCCTGTTCATGGTTCCCACAAAGTCAATGACCACTCAGTTAATGGATATTCTTTCGGGCAGGAATGACAATGTTTTGTTTGTCACAATGGTCTGTGAGTCTATTTAGATTCAGCAGATGTATTTGTGAGCGTTTAATTAACCGAGGGAAGAAGTGGGGATGTTTACGTTTTGACGTCTCCAAACTGTCTGTCAGAAGTAGGAATGCCAAGTAATATTCTTAGACAAGACAGCTATATCCGCTTTTTTAAACCAGAAATCAATAATAGTCATGTATAATAAGTAATAGTTATTGCACTCACTGGGACTAGAGTACAGTTCAAGGAGTAATCAAGCGCGTAATTTCAAAATTGGACGAGCGCGAAGCGCGAGGCCGATTTGAAATTAAGAGCACCATTACTCCCTGAATTGTACGACACGAAGTCCATTTACTAATTAATCCTATTTATAACAAATTTAAGAAAATAGGTAAGTCTTTTGAGAACTGCTTTAGAGCGAAAAAATTAGTAGCGCTTTCCATAAGTTTAAAAACTGTAGGAAGCCATTAAAGCGCGCGTAACTGACGTGCAAATTACCTGGGTATCCAATTACAGGTATCCAATTACAAAAAGTTGTAATCTAATACCCGTAATATGACAGCTACGTGATCGCGCGCCGACTACGTAACAAATAGGTGCGCGGAGAACCAATCACGATCGAATATATTGGTATGCTAATTATTATATAGCTATTATTTAGCGCATGGGATGTGCTTAGCGCTCTTTTTGACCACACAGTCAGGCCCCGTTTACACGGGTCCGGACAAAAACTTGCATGTTTCCACAATGCCTTTACGCGGGACCGGCGGAACTGGACGAATTTGTGCAAGTGTGCAAGTTTGGGACCTGAAAAAAGCGGGTCAACTGTTTCACCGGCACGGTTCCATATTGCATACGGACTCGTGTAAACACCCGAACCTTGCAACTTTTTCTCAGATAGCGCGGTTAAGGCCTGGAATCTGGTTATGTTATGCCTGGTTCCTTAGCAAAAATGAAACATTCGGCTACATTTTATTCCTGGTTTGCTACATTTTGTTAAATTTAAGACAAAAGAAACAAACAAAAGCAGATTACAGATTTGAGGAGACGAGCGGCCGCAGTATACATCGCTATTTTAGCCGGATTAGCAGGGCTTTTGCAGTACACTTTGCTGTAAATGGCTATTGTTTCCGATATTCATCGATCAAAGCAAACTACACGTTTGAATTTCTCGGTGAGCATGTACAGCTTACGAAGCAGCCAACCGAGGGAAAAGTCCTAGACTATAACTACATGTAGCAACAAATTAATTTCTTCATCAGACCATGTAAAGTTTTTCTCCGCCGCGACATTTGATTTGCCGCGTATTGCATCAGCTGCAACATGATTGGCTTAAAACATTAGCGATAACCAATCATAACAGAGACGTAAAAAAGCCATTCAAATGCCGTGACTGTTCTAAAATTTGCATGGATCCGTCTTAACACCACTACAATCTGTAACAGAATTTGTACGGATCCATGTAAACAGGCAGTCCAGGAACAGAATTCGTCGGTGCAAAACTTTGTCAGCACCCGCGTAAACGGGGCCTTAGATTCAGATTCAGTTCTGCTATCATTTTATTTCCACTGAGCGGGTCTCTCACGCTAGGCTGATTGGCTACCGTTAAAAACGATAGCCATTCAGCTGGGGCCTTGGGTTTGTTAAACCATAGTAGGTGGAATACAGAAAATGTGTTATGAATGATCGTGTTTTCAAGAGTGACAGGGAAAACATTGCCCAAGATTTTACAGGGGGTATTCCTCAAAACGTTGGGTGGTGGAGAGCCGCCCAGGGTTTGATTGACAGCTTTATTGGCGGGTCTAAATGATGATTTTCGTTTAGGCTAAGAAGTTCAAGGTAGAATTCTGATTGCTGGTGAAATTCGAAGGAAAAAGTTGTAATGATTTTGTTTGGGAGTGAGCTTGTAACAAGAAAATTATCAAAGTGAAGAATGATCATCGCAGTAAATTTTCCAATTTAAACACTTGGAAAGAAGAAGCCTGAAAAAAATCAGGGCTTTAACGGGATTCGAACCCGTGACCTCCGCGAATACCGGTGCGATGCTCTACCAACTGAGCTATGAATCCACACATTGGGAACGAGGTCAATTAATTGAGTTCATATCTTCCCGTGAGGAGAGACATGATGTAAAGTATGTATGAAATAATTCATATTTGAACTGCGGTTGTAGATGAAAGTGAAGAATGATCATCGCAGTTCAGGACGACCTCTGAAGTCAGTGTCCCCATTTATGTTTCTCGTAAGTTCGTCGGTCACTCCTTGGCGAGAATCTGTTCGTGTACATGGGACCAGCACTGGGCTGATGTAAATTTATCGTAGGCACATCATCGGTACCGTTAACATTGCTGGGCCTGTCGTAAGTCGACGGAGGAATCCTTCGAAATGCTTGAAAAATTTAAAACTTCCTATTGTTAGACAGAAGAAAAGTAAAGCTCTTATGCTAAGTTTACCCCGAGTTCTAGTTTTGTAAATTGTTTCAATGCGAATACCGAGAACTCCAGATATTTTTTGCATATTTAATGAGGCACAAAGGTATATTTTCGTTTTTTGCGAATTTCTCGAAGACTTTAAGTTCTAAGAAAATCGGAATANGTGTATGGCACCGATATTGTAACATCACTTGGTAAATAGTGGTATCACCGCTAAAAAGTGCCGAGTGGGCTTTTATTTCGTAAAACTATTTATCCCCATAAGTTACTTTGCGGGATCGTTTGAACAGGCAAACGCATAACACTTGTTCGTTCGAGATTATCAAATGTGAATTCAGCATTTGCACGTACAAATAAACAGTAAATATCACACTGAAAATCGTATGATGCACGGAGGTACGTGTCTCAGAGGGGAACTTAGTAAGTTTCGACAATAAAACAATAGAGTTTATGTTCGCGGGCATAAATATGTTTTGGGCCCGACTCAGACTCATTTTAGCCCGAGCCGCTAGGCAAGGGCTACAATGAGCTCTGAGAAAGACCCAAAACAAAATAATGTCCAAGAACATAAACTCTATTACTATTATTACCACTTTGGAGGGTATTGAGAAAACAAAAATTGAAAAAAATGATAACAACAAGAAAAACAACAAGTTTTCCCTCAATGAAAGTACACGATACATCAGCGAAGCTGGCTAGAAATTACAAAATCTTGTCATTTGAGTTTTCAAAATTTGCAAAAGATATGAAAGGAAAGTTTGATAAAGTTTATTTGTAAGTTTTGAAATTAATTTGCACAATTGCTAAACTGGCAGTTTGGCATAAGCTTAATTGGTTGAACTGAGTGCGTTTTGCTTGAATCCGCAAAACTTACATGCACTTCACCATCGGCCATGGAGCTACTACAGACGTTACTGACATCAAAAGCTTCTCTTGAAAGAAACGGACGGCTAAAGTGTCCGAACAAGCACGTTTCTGTGAGGCTGAGTTATCCTTTATGTAGGATGTCAAACTTTGCTCGTTGAAAATGGCACCCTGATTTCTTTCACCGAAACTTCGCTGCAAGAAAGCGGCGCGAACAGAGCGCGCGAACATTTTAATGGCGTTTTGATTTTGATTGGCTGCCTACATCGTACGATTGTTTGATTCTCACTTTTAATTGGTTTATTTCAGCGGGCAAAAATACATTTTAGCCTGAAAAATGCGTCACAATGCCCTAAAAGGTGATAATGATAATGAATATTCTCTTAATTTGGAAAGAAAACGCCAACTATCTTGAGACCCAGGTTCTTGAGCTGGTGCACATGACGGTTTGTTGTAGAATAAATTAAGTTTGCTGGGCCTATCAAGCTCATAACTACTGCGAAGTCGAATCAAACATGGTGTAATATTCTACCATGGGTATTGTTATTCATGGCATGGTAATAAGCTATGGGTAATCACTCTGGCCTGAGACAAGGCTAAGATCAAGCAAAGATTGAAGAGGACAGCTAGATCAAGACGAGTTACTCGTTGGGTGGGAGGGTGGCTAGTCACCAACCTCTTCGCTTTGGCTGCCTCGAGTAGAGTAATTGGGTGGGAAAGAGGGGTCGCGTAAATTCTTTTATACTATTCATTTCCATATAATCACCAGGGTACAATTACCAGTGTAAATTGAGTTTGCATAAAGAACAAAGGCAATAAAAGAGGAAGAAAAAAAGCTTGGCGTTTATTTTGTTTCACTGAAACGAAGGGGAGTTATGAAAGTTAAAACGAAGGCGATGACTTATAAAATGAATAACAGCGCAAATTGTATAAAGTATGAAGGTACGTGTCTGAGGACTAACAACGTGTAAATGATCGATAGAAGCTTCCTGTCTTGGCTTCCTACTCAGTCAACAAACCATTTGGATCTTAACGTGGAAACAATAGTACACTATAAATGAAACAACAGCAACAACGAAAAAAATAACCAAGTTAAACCCCCATAATGACCATAGTGTACATTGAATTCAAATAAGAAGCAGTTTTAAATTAACGTTTCTTACGACTTTTAGGTCGACCGAACCTCTCTACTCTACATAAGTATCATCAGCTGCTGCGCTGTTCAAAATAATTATGTGAAGAGAGCCTTAAGCCCATTACGATAATTTCTGCTGAAAATTAAACAGATAACAGGATTTATGGCACAATTTGCGGAAGCCAATAACCTAACAACATATACAAAGTAAGGGTCGCCACAATTCGGCCATATGATGGTCTCCGTAAAAAGGAGAATACACCAGAAGATAGCGAGGGGCAGCCAGCATGCTGCAAACCCTAACATAATAGCAATGGCCATCTTTAGGACGTTCCGCTCCCTTTGCTGGCGTTCTTGTCCAGCGTTGGCTGATTGCTCACCTGGAATTTTCTGTGACTTGAGCTTTAGATAGATGATAACGTAAAGTATGGCTATCAACACCAACGGGATAAACATGAATACAGCAATACAGGACATGATGTAATACTCATAGGATGAGAGCTCTCCAAAAAGTTCATTCCAATGCCGCTGACAAACCAGCTTCCCTGGATATTCAACAACGTTGCTGACGAAGAGCTCTGGAGAGAAAACAGCTATCGCGACTATCCAAGTGGCGACAATGAAGAACGGGCACAGCTTTGAACTGATCAGTGGAGAACGGAGAGGAAATACCACAGCTCCAAATCGATCCACTGCTATCAGAACCAGGCTCTGAATAGACACAGTAGAGGAGGTATCTGGTAAGAAGGCAACCAGCTTACACAAGACCTGGCCAAGAGGACCACCGATCAGCCAGGAGTCTACACTATAAACAACAACAACAACAACAACAACAACAACAAAAAACACTGAAGAAAATGTCCTAACTTTCTTATGCATGTATGTAATAAATTTCTACATAAATAAATGAAGCATTTTAAAATATCTCTCTGTTTGAATAAATACTTCGATGAAACAAGATTATACCGATAAGTTTTATGAAGACAGGCTGATTCAGAGAAACAATTTTCCCTTTTCTGTTCCGCAGTGGATAAAAAAAAATCGATTTTAAAATCGAAGTTACAATTCAGTCCTTCACAAGAGATAAAAATTCCAGTAAGCAGCGATTTCAAAGCAAAACTCTATGCTAATTAACATCGGGTATCCTTCACGGTTGTTATTTTCTTTGTTTTTGATGTTTAAACTTGATAATTATTAACGAGTTTGAGAAGATCAAATGAAAACCATCATTAAGGTCATAGTGAATATAGTCCATTGCAAATGCCTCCAAATATGCTTCAACTGAACTGTATCAAAAATATTAGGAGAAAATTCACTTTTTCATTTTTTTTTTTTTTTACAAACAATTTTTGCCGTGAAATGCCAATACGTTTTCATGGCATCTTTAAGGCACCATTGATGAATTCTTAATTGCCATGGCAATATATAATTGCACGAAAATCACTCATTAATTTGAAACTAGAAACGTCTATTCTTAGGCCATTTTTCCCTCATTTTTGAAAGTAACAAACATCATTACTCTTCTAGCAATATACGAGAGTGATTATGTGGAGGGGAGGGGTACATTCGATGTCTAATAGTGAAAATTTGGGCATTTGTCTGTTGACGAACATGGGAAGAAGTCATTTCTTTTCAATAGGCCCTTTGCAGCTGGGGTCACGTGACCAAATGTTTCCTAAAAAATTTTTGTATTATGGGCTATAACTAAAAGAATGCCAGAAATGGAAAGAGCGCATCAAAAATACCAAAATGGCCAAGTTTGAGGCCCCANTTTATCAAATGTGACAGAAATAACATGACTATCAACAACAACAACAACAACAACAACAACAAAAAACACTGAAGAAAATGTCCTAACTTTCTTATACATGTATGTAATAAATTTCTACATAAATAAATGAAGTATTTTAAAATATCTCTCTGTTTGAATAAATACTTCGATCAAACAAGATTATACCGATAAGTTTTATGAAGACAGGCTGATTCAGAGAAACAATTTTCCCTTTTCTGTTCCGCAGTGTATCAAATAAAATCTATTTCAAAATCGAAGTTACAATTCAGTCCTTCACAAGAGAAAAAAATTCCATTAAGCAGCGATTTCAAAGCAAAACTCTATGCTAATTAACACCGGGTATCCAACCTCCTTCACGGCTGTGATTTTCTTTGTTTTTGTTTTTTAAAACTCTATAATTATTAACGAGTTTGAGAAGATCAAATGAAAACTATCATTAAGGTCATAGTGAATATAGTCCATTACAAATGCCTCCAAATATGCTTCAACTAAACTGTATCAAAAATGTTAGGAGAAAATTCACTTTTTCATTTTTTTTTTTTTTTACAAACAATTTTTGCCGTGAAATGCCACCACGTTTTCATGGCATCTTTCAGGCACCATTGATAAATTCTTAATTTCCATGGCAATATATAATTGCACGAAAATCACTCATTACTTTGAAACTAGAAACGTATATTCTTAGGCCATTTTCCCTTCATTTTTGAAAGTAACAAACATCATTACTCTTCTAGCAATATACGAGAGTGATTATGTGGAGGGGAGGGGTACATTCGATGTCTAATAGTGAAAATTTGGGCATTTGTCTGTTGACGAACATTGGAAGAAGTCATTTCTTTTCAATTTTTCCAGACCACGAGGGAATCAAAACACAGTTAATAACTTAGGTTTGGCATGAATAAATCACTTGTTTTAGACACTCCGACAAAACCAAGCTCGACTCACTAATACAATTCACCTAGTTATATTAAAACACAAATTTGGGTGTGTTAAACACTTGCAGACCATGAATGGAATGACTTCCGTGTTGAGCAATAAACACAAACATTTTTTAAATCAGTTTTGAACAACTGTTAAAATAAGCGATACTGTCGAAAGACGATCAAAGCCGTTAATTTTATATGACCTAAGGCCTTGTATGTCAAAGCAAACCATGGTAACACTAGCCACAAATACATATTCTGGACTGTTTTTGATTTGTGTGATTAGCTACGAAATAGATGTGAGCTGGGTTAGCTTAAATTCTCCACGTTTAATTGACATAACAGTGAAAGAGTAGCACAAGAAATAGGATGTTTTTTTCAATTTAATCGCTGCGTGACAAAATATGGGCGAGCCCTTGTTTACAAAAATTGTCTCATTACCATAAGCGCTTCAGTCACTGATGAAACGACAAAAATATCTGAATTTTCTCGTGATTGCTTCCTATGAAACCGTTAGTATTAAAAGTAAATTTATTTCCTACAGCTTTCCTCAGTGTGTATTTTTGTGGATAGCTTCTTTCTGGCATGGCTTGTCAACCTCTACATTTCTTAATGGCTCTTTACCTGAAACTGTGAAAGCAATACTGGAATGAGTAAAAAGCTTTCTCGCTATGCCGCACAGAAACACTGAACAAAACAAACACATTATGAACTGTTTAAAAGCCGAACGATAAAGACAGAGTCACCTAAAATGATTTCATGGACTGTGCTTGATAGAAATAACATTGATGTGCCAGTTTTTTATAGCCGGGGGTGTTTAGAAATGTGCAGTAAAATGAGTACCGGATTAAAGCCTTGTGGTAAGCTTTAAAATGTTGTTATGCAATAACCAGTTTGCGTGTAGCCAAGGTCTTTCAAGCGCAAAATTTAAACAGTTTCTTTTAGTTGGATGAGTTGTCCGCCATTATCAGGATTTCGCTTGAAGCAGATCAACTCTGACCACAAGGTACTGAGGAAAAAAATGCAAATGAAACCTTGCACCTCGTTTTGCATGGGCAAAATGCAGGGCGAGGTTGCTTGATCTTTTGTCGAGTTCGATTAGCCGGCCACGCTTGATATATCAATATTCTAATCATGGGTCCTCGTTTCATTGGTCATGCAATCAAAAATTCTGAAAATTTGGAACCGGGGACAAATGCTCCGGAAATTTGTCGAGAAAAATTCCGGAAAATCCGGAAATTGGTGCATTTCCGATAAGCGAACCATTCAACTGAAAATTTCGGTAATTTCGGGAGGAAAGTCAAGTGGAGCGGAAATTCCCAATAAGAAATTTCCGAAATATTCGGTATACCTCGCAAGGTTGTCCATTCTTCCTGAAATTCCGAAAAATACTATTCCATTAGTCATTGGAAATTTGCGGAAACTCAAGCCTGTTTTTTTTGTTTTTTTTTTTCTTCTTCTTCTTCTTCTTCTTCTTCTTCTTCTTCTTCTTCTTCTTCTTCTTCTTCTTCTTCTTCTTCCACGGACTGGAAAGCGCCCCCCCCCCCCAAAAAAACCCAGCATATAAAGAAGTGTTTCCTCAAAGCCTCGGAGCATGTCAAAATATTGATATATCGAGTGTGGCCTATTTGGTGACTGATATCACAATAAAAATTTATTTTCCCTTTAAGAAATTGTTTGAAGAGAGTTCAGAGCCAGGTAATTTTTTGAAAATTTAAAGTGGCTCTGAACCCTCTTAACAGATTTTTTTTTTAAATTTTGTAAGCAGTTTTTTTTAGTTAAAAGGGCTTAAAGCTAAAATTAAATGTGTTTTTAACAGTCAGCCTGATATATAAAACTGATGACTGCAACTTGTTTCCCTATGATTGGGCATTAGAGTATTAGAGTAATACGATTATTGTAGCATCACTTGTTAAACATGGTAGTATTCATCCTTCAAAGTGTAGCTTCTGGAAATGTGCTGGAAACTATTGTCAGACACCTTAATGCTTCAATTTGCTCGAAAGTGCCGAGCCGGCTATTATTTCCTAAAACTATTTAATTATCCCCATAAATTACTCTCCAGGATCGTTTGAACAGGCAAACGCATAACACTTGTTCGCTAGACAATATCAAAGGTGATTTCGGCATTTACACTTAAAATAAACAAGAAATATCACACTGAAAATCGTATGATGTACGGAAGTACGTTTCTCAAGGAGAACTTCCTCATTTGGCAGAAGGTTCAGGGCACTGGTCGTGATGACAACATGCAAGTGATTGACAGAAGCTTCTTGTTCGGGTTTTTAATTCAGTCAGCATACCATTTAGATCTTGCAATTTACATCAAATAATGAATATTCTCTAACTGTGGAAAAAAAACGCCAACTATCTTAATGACTAGGTTCTTGGGCTAGTGCACCTGACGGTTTATTGTAAAATAAATAAAGTTTGCTGCACTTATGAAACTTAAAAATACTGCTATGTCGAATCAAACATAGTTTAATATTCTATCCCGGATATAGGTAATAATGACTTGGTAATAAGTTATGGAGAATCGCTCCGGCCTGGGACAAGCCTAAGACCAGGCGAAAATAGAAGCAGACAGCTAGATCAAGCCTGGTTTACTCGTTAAGTGGAAGGGTGTGTCCCTGTCGCCTCCGCGGCCTCGAGTGAAGTGATGGGATGGAACACTTGTAAAGGGGGAGGGGTAGTCAATTCCTTTGTACTGTTATTTGCATAAAGTGTTAAGGCTGTCAATTACCAATGGAAATTGAGTTTGCATAGAAAAGAGTGGCAATACAAAAAGGAGAAAAAGAGATGAGGGCGTTTAATTTGTTTCACTTAGATTGAGGGGAGTTCTAAAATCGAAGCTGAAGACTTATAAAGTGAGTAATAGCTTAAATTGTATGAGGTACGAAAGTAAGAGTCTAAAGAAAAACCTTCTGGACACAGCAGGTGATGACAACGTGGCAATAATCGAGAGAGGTTTCCTGTCTTAGCTTCCCACTCAGTCAAAAAACTATTTGGATCTTAACGTGGAAAAAATATTCATTAAAAATTGAACCAAACATCAACCTCAACAGAAAAAATAACCAGGGTATTTGGAAGGCGTAATTCTAAAGCAATAAAAAAAAAAAGCTGAAGAAGAAAAAAGGGGATTTATAAGTTGTTTTACAGACTGAGTCCTACTACTGACGCATAAACAATGAACCATCAACGCTACTTTAAAAACAGCTGGTAAAAATTGTACAGTGAGCTCAGTAGAGGGAAAAACACCAGAACATTTTCTTGAAAATACAGGCTGGTATTCCAAGAAAAGGACTGTTAGTATATAAACCTTTACATATGCCTTTTGTCTTCAGAATTAGGTTCAGACTTATGTGTTGGACATCACGATTTGGTGCTGCACCTAGGCAGCTCACAAAATAATGCCGAGTAAACCAAAGACAAAAGAGAAAGGGTGCTTAATTTGTTTTACTAAAACTGTGAGAGAGTCATGAAAAAAGAACAATTTTACATAGAAATGGACGAGGAATGGGAATCGGCCGTACTTTACCATTCAATACTGTATTGACGTCTTTAAGCACTTTAATTCATTGCTTCCAAATTAAGAAAATTGGTTAATAGTATTCATACACTTTATTGCTTCCTAATAATTAAGAACATAAATAGTCTACGAAATAACTACAAATGATGGCAAAGAAATCGTCAAAAGAATATTTAGAAACCGGTCTGTGAAGTTTATCAAGCGTACATTGAATCAAACAAAAAGCAGTATTGAAATAAGAATTATTTACACGGTTTAAGACGGCTGAAAACGTCCAATGAATTAAGGAAAATTGCAAATCGAATATACACAATAACTTTAAAATGTTGGCAATCTCAGTGTCCAAATAAAGATTTAAAACCGTTCTGCAAAGGTTCTTTAAGCCATAGTGTACATTGAATCGATTCAAGCAGTTTCAAATAAACGTTTTTTACGAGATTTAGGTCGACTGATTCTCTCTACTGTACATAAGTATCATCAGCTACTGCGTTGTTCAAAATAATTTACCTAAAGAGAGCCTTAAGTCCGTTCCGATAGTTTCTGCAAAAAATGAAACAGATGCAAGGATTTACGGCACAATTTGCAGTGGCCATTAACCTAACCACATATACAAAGTATGGGTCGTCACAATTCGGCCATATGAAGGTGTCCTTAAGGACGAAAATAAACCAGAAGATAGCGAGGGGCAGCCAGCAGACTGCAAACCCTAACACAATAGCAATGGCCATCTTTAGTACATTTCTCTCCCTTTGCTGGCGTAGTTGTCCAGCGTTGGCTGATTGCTCGCCTGGAATCTTCTGTGACTTGAGCTTTAGATAGATGGTAATGTAAAGTATGGCTATCAACACCGACGGAATAAAAGTGACTAAAACAATATAGGACACGAGGTAATACTCATAGGATGAGGACTCTCCAAAAACTTCATTCCAATGCCGCTTACAAACCAGCTTTTCTGGATATTCAACAACTTTGTTGGCGAAGAGCTCTGGAGAGAAAATAGCCATCGCGACGATCCAAGTGGCGAGAATGAAAAACGGGCACAGCTTCGAACTGATGAGTGGAGAACGGAGAGGAAATACCACAGCTCCAAATCGATCCACTGCTATCAGAACCAGGCTCTGAATAGACACAGTAGAGGAAACTTCCGGTAAGAAGGAAACCAGCTTACATAAGGCCTGGCCAAGAGGACCACCGATCAGCCAGGAGTCTTTATAGAGCGGTTGTATCCTCCAAGGAATCAAGAAAATCGGAAACAGCAGATCTGACATGGCCATGTTTACAATGAAAAAGTTGATGGGCTTTCTCATGGTTTGCGACTTGTAGACAATTTTTCCGATGACAGTGTTCCCAGCCAACGAAAAAATGAAGATCAAGCAGTAAGCAAAGGTCACTCCAATTTTTTCTGCTGTAGGATTGCTGGAGCAGCTCGATGGCTGTGTTCTATTCATCGTTGTATTCGCGTTTTCCGACATCGCCTTTTAGTTTCTTTTTCTGCTCTTACGCTGACAAAAACGTTTTCTTCTGGTTTCTTCAGTTAGTAACGTCACTCTATTTATGCTCTAGCGAAGGTGAGATAACTGTTCGGCTTGATGCCGTCATTCGCGAGAAAAGATTGATCGATTAGGGAATTTCCATGACATGTTTAATGATTGGCAGATCTTTGTTCCAGCTGTCTGCAGTCTATTTGACAATATAATTCGGCTTTCTTATTTCGTGTAACCAAACAAAATGAAGTGATCACAAATTGCTTTTTGTTTTCATTTCATATCTTAACATCGATGAAACTGGAAGCAAACAGGGTCTCAAAATGTCACTGCTTCGACAAATGAAGTAGGGACAGCTGGGTGGATTGTTTTTCAACTCTGTTCGAAGCCTGATAAACATGCCAGTCGTTCAGTTTTCTTCTACCCTGTTATTTAATGAGGTTTAATAAATTGATCGTGGCATCAAACCGTCCATCATGACGAGTCAGTGAGAACACGGGGTGTTCAACGTAAGAACCCGAGTTTAATAATAAACAATGCCCTATGAGAAAATGCTTCTTGTCAGAGTTTAAATCACGAAACTTTAATGTCAAATATGACAGCGTAAACCGCCTAATCAAAAGGTGCCGCGCAAACAGGATTTGAATTTACCCCGGCTGCAGAGTCATGAAGTTTTTTCGTGTATCCAAGTTAGTATTTTAATAAAGAGACTCCTCCTCGTGCATTGCATATGACGTCAACAACGGCTAATAACTTCAGGATCGGATCTAAACTCCGTTTATGCCACACGAGAGTCTTCTTTAAAGGATTTGGACAGAAATGAGAGGGGAGAGAGGAGAGGGGGTTACTTTGTTTTTTTTTTCAAAATGAAGGACAAAGTGAAAAGGTATAAACATTGATGTTAAACAAAGAACTATTCAATTACTTTCCTATTGATTCTTTTTCCGAAAAACTCCACCATGCCCTACGTGTGGGATTAATGGAGCAGCCTAACTTAAGTTTTCCTTTACTGATTGTCCATAGCTTTTCACAGGCCACTAAAAATGACTTGGGCTTTATACGAGGGGCGCGGCCAAATTTCGCTCGGCCATATTTCCCTGTTCCCTTTTTCCTCATTTCACTTAACTGATTGATGAGTAGCGACTTTGGTTTAGCGTTTAGAGTTTAAAGTGCATGATAAATCCACTTTTGTTCTTAACATAAATTTCCTGATATCATGTTCATTCAAGTAGAATAAGTAGGATCTTTCGTGAACTTTACATTAATTGAGTAGTTGTTAACATTACGTTAATTTATTTTTAATGCCTTAAATATACTTTGTGGGGCTGCTATATATGTATGATTGTATCTGAGGTCTTCTCGAGCAAGGGTGTGTATGTAACACTTGAGGTTCGCTGAGTAACGTGAAAGGT